GAAAAGACATGGTTTGTATATACCCCTAGCAAGTCCATGATTGAAACAAAATGCGTGCAGGACAAAATGGAGGAGAATCATACTGTGAAACAAAAATCTTGGCAGTTTTGTAGAGTATCAAGAAATATCCCAATCTGAGCTTCCACATCATCCTCATTACTACAAATTTTAAAATTTTGGATACCTTAGGAAAATGTCCTATACAACGTGGATAAAATAAATTCTTCCTGAGAATAAGAAGTCTTAAATTCACTTTAAAGTTCAGCGACTTTCTTTTGGACAATTCTGTACTCCCACATATTTGAAATCATACCTATTCCTAAAGAAGGTATTTTTTTTCTGGATTAAGAAAAGTTAGAGTTATTTAGTATATTGTTTGATGTTGTTAATGAATTAAACATTTCCCTTCAAAATTGGTAACAAGACCTATTGCACAGGAAAAAGGAAAAACTAGACTCACTTCAAAAGATACTAAGCTATGTTCCACTGGGTACAGAATACTGACTTCAGTTGTTTCTGAACCACACTCCATTCATTCATTCATTTGTATATGTTTTGCTATGGGACTATAAAAGCGTGATGATATGCATCTTTTAAACTAGTCATTTCCTTAAGTTTTCCATATTCTGATTATGATTATGAAAGACTAACAAGTTTTATCAAGACATAAAAGTACCAATCTGGGGTACTTTTTGATACTGATTTACATAATTGAATTAGTCTCATAGTAAAGTTACCTTTCACTTTGAACTCAAGTGCCTGAAAATATGGGTGAAGTAGATGAATATATGAATTATGAATGAACTTATGAGTTCCTAATTTGAACTTAGGTACCTTTATACACAAATCACATTTAATTTCATGATAAGCTATCATTTAATAGATCAGCGATCACAAAGATAGTGTCATTTGAACAGGTTTTCTAATTTTAAGGGTATAACTTATTATTATTACTGTTACTATTCTGCTTACCAGCTAAATGTAGCTGTTAGATTATAGAAGTTAATGTATTGATGCCAGCTTGGCATCCTTAATCATGTTTCCAATTAGCACTACGAAGTAACTGAAAAACTCCCTTTGTCATCACAATGGGCAGTTACTCCTTAGGCTCTCATACTCTCTTCCACATTCAGGAATTCCCCTTCCAGGCACTGTCATGTTTAAGGAGGCAGATGGTAAAGTCAATGGCAATGCCTAATGTTTGACATACAAAGTCACAGCCCAGACCAAGAGTGAGAGATGGGGAAATCTTACCCAGTTGGTCAAACTAGAAATTTACAAAGGAAAAATAAACTTATTTTTTTTGTCTAGCTCATAAACAATGCAATGACAAAGGTGTTTCTGATTCAAGATACAACATTCCTGAGTTCATCACCTATGGAGGTCAAAAAGTATATCAGGGTACCAACTATTAAAAAAAAATTGCTAAGTCTTCCAAGACTGTGAAAAGCAAAGACTACATAGGCTCAGAGTGCTTTACCAAGGACTGCATTTTCCTGATATTACACTTGTGTGGATTTATCTATTTAAGTCAATCTTAATTCACTAAATATCCAGAACTAATGATATTATTGTAATTTATCCTCTGTCATAATTGGGTTTACTTCATTTTATCTTTTTTTTTAGTTCAAAATGTTTACACTATGAGCATTTCCTTTCCTTAGCATTAATTAAAATCCTGCAGTATGTGGTATTCAGTAGTTAGTGCTGACACACACAAGTATTAATGTGACTAAAATTGGCCTAATTAAGATTGCTATTAAGGCTTACACAAAGCAGAAGTGTACAACACAGTAGGTAGCAATTATCTTGGTTTTTAAATAACATTTAAATTGAAATGTAGATAAAATAGATTCACATAACTACAAGACCTTTCTCTTTAAAATAAAAACATAAAAATTCAAGTTCCAGCTAAAAGCCTTTATGACATAGACACAGCCAGTGTAGGTCCCTTTATACATAACCAGTAACTTCAACTGGTTCTAATAATTGGCTGTCATATAAAGTTCTTTTTTTGGTTGAAACCAAAGTGGTTGCTAAACTTAAAACCAAGTCAGGGATCCCTTTACTTTCATTGCAAGTACAATTATCTCAGGAAAAATTATTTTTAAATAGAGCTCTCAAACTGATACATTTTCCCAAGAAACATCACAGTATGTACCCATCGTAGAATACTTGATAGGAGGAACTGTGTAAACACCAAAAGAAATAAACCATGAATTGTAAACATCTAGCCTGAATAACTCATTCATTCAGTTGCACATTTGTTTGATAAAAGCACATTAGTATTCTCAATTCTGAAATGTAACATCAAGTTGGAATTAAATCTGAGGTGAGGTAGATCATCTAATATGTAATCTGAAGCATATAACATGCCTTGTAGAGATATATTTGTGTTTTTGATCTCTATGTAAATGATTACCTGTTCTACATTCAGAAATTAAACACAAACTGAAGCTGGGTCTTCTGAATGAATTCCAATGGTCTGTAGAAAAACAAAAGATAGGTCATATATATATAATATATATATAATATATTATGTGTGTGTGTGTGAGAGAGTACATGTGATATGTTATGTATATATTATATACAGGAACATGCCATAAATAGGAAGAAACAATAAAAATAAAAAAACATATGCCACACTAAAAGTGAGTGACAAATATCTTCCCCAAAGGCAGCAGATACATATGACAATAAAATTATACCTGCCTTTATAAGAGTGGTTCATGAACACTGATATATTAACACTGAGCAAATTCCCCATTCTGGGAATTTGCCAGAATTATGGATCCAAGGGGAATTTCTCAAGGACTCAATAGAATTTCATACTTATGGTTGTGAGCTTACATATCAGAAACTCAAACATCAGCCTACCCATAGAAATCCATAGTTTTCTCAGCAAATAGATTTATATCTAAAGAATCTTTTACCAATACCTAAAGAATCTTAACATGCCCACTTTTTTAGTATTAAGTTCAGCTTCATTATGAAATCATAAGTGCAACCCTAATGTTCAAATAAATTCTGAATTTCTTTTATTTCACTGTAGACTAATTTGGAAAATTATTAGATGGTTTAATAATAGCATAAATTATAAGAGCTTCAAGACTCTTGTGGACTTGTCTGCAGCCACACAGCCAATATTAAAACACACATTATTTATCTGAATATAATATCTCCTATGCAATCATTGTGCTTCATCTTGTAAATACAGATAGGCTAGAGGTTTAAAATGTGTGCATTCTGATAAACCCCACTCTGCTTTGGGTGCGTTATTACCTCATACAAGTTAAGAATTAAAAATGGAGTGGATTAAATTTAGGCTGGAATCAAACTTTGCTTTAAATTTTAAGAAAGTCATTTTTCATTGGCACCAGAGTGCAGTCGCAAATAAAAAGCAAACATAGATCCTTTAGATAAAATATGCTTTGCCCTAAAATACCTAGGCATATGAGTGCTATGGTTTGACTGTTTCTGTTCCCTCCCTCCAAAATTCATGTTGAAATTTAATCCCCAATACAACAGTATTGGGAGGTATTGTTTTTGGGAGGTGAGTGGGTCATCAGTGCTCCATGGTCACAAATGGGATTAGGGGCTCTTATAAAAGGGCTTGATGAGTTCAGCCCATTTTCTCTTCTACCTTCTGCCAAGTGGAAGGTGCCATTTTGGAAGCAGAGAGCAGCCTTCCCCAGAGAACCAAGCCTACCGGCACCTTGTCCTTGAATTTTCCAGCTTTTAGAACTATGAGAAAAAATAATTTCTGTTCTTCACAAATTACTCAGTCTCAGACATTTTTTTTAAATAACAGCATTAGCAAACTAAGACAATAAACTAAATATGTGTACTTTGCTTGAAATTTTCTGGAGAACTGTCTTTCATTGGATTTTGCTAGATCAGGCCTGATAGTGCCATATGCTTGAGCCCTGCTTCTTGTAGTTTAATTTGTGTAAGAATCATCTAGAGACTTGGTTTAAATGCAGATTCTGAGTCAATGGTTCTGGAGCAGAGCCTGAGATTCTGCACTTCTAACAAGCTCCCAGGTGATACCTACACTACTGTTCAGGGAGGACAATTTCAGTATCAGTGACAAAGAAAGTGGCCAAAAGACTGCTCTCTCAGGTTTCATGCACGTGTATAGGCAGCAGTGGCCCAGAGAAAATGTCACAATTTCTCAGTAGACCAGAACAAAAGTTCAGTAACAGGCAATAAAAGCTGATGACTAAACAGGGATTATCCAATCACTACAGCTCATGGGCCAAATCTGGCCCACCATCTGTTTTGTATGACCTGCACGGTAAGAATGGTTTTCACAGATGAACAATTTGCAACTGATTTGATAATAGAAAACACCAACTTTGAACCCCAATTAGGTGAAATTGCATCACTCTCCCAAAAGAAATTATTTTAAATTTTATCAATTTAAAATATTGTAGAAATTTATTTTCTCTCTTATTACATAGGTACCTACTTATCCTCAATTTTGTTTTTCTCACAAAGTCTGAAATATCCCTGGCCTTTTACAGAGAAAAAAATAGTGACACTTGTATAAATTTTTGCTGAAAATGCCATAAATTTTCCTTGATAAAATATGAGCATTTTTACATAGCACAAGTAACATTCAAAAAAATAAAAGTGCATGGTATTTTTAAAATCTAGATTACCTCAAATTAGTTAGGATTAGGAGTGACTTAGAAGATACTCACAAAATTCAAATTCTGAAAGAAAACCAAAGAAAGCAACTTGAATTACTGTTGAAAAGTCCAGTGCTTTTCTTTTTCCTTCCTTCCTTCCTTCTCTCCCTCCCCCCCCCCTTTCTTTCTTTCTTCCTTGGGACAGAGTCTAGCTCTGTTGCCCAGGCTAAAGTACAGTGACATGATCTTGGCTAACTCCAACCACCACCTCCATGGTTTATGCAATTCTTGTGCCTCAGCCTCCTGAGTAGCTGGGATTACAGTAGTGCACCACCATACCCAGTGAATTTTGGTATTTTTGGTAGACATGGGGTTTTGCCATGTTGCCCAGGCTGGTCTTGAACTCCTGGCCTCAAGTGATCCTCCCACCTCAGCCTCCCAAAGTGCTAGTATTACATGTACAAGCTGCTGCACCTGGCCAAAAGTCCAGTGCTTTCCTGATGCTCATTCTGTGTAACAATATCTTTTACTAAATGAAAAGCTCTTCTCTTTTTCCATGATGCTCTAAAATTTCATGTTATTGTACCTTGGTAAAGGTCTTTTTCAATCGCTGTACTTTTAACCCAGGTGGGCTCTTTCAATTAGAAAAATTTTATTTTTAAAAAAAGTTTTCTTTCTTCCATTTTCTTTGTATTTCCTTTTGCAACACAAAAGGAAATATTGATTAGATGTTGGACCTTCCTAAAATAAATCAATAAGTTTATTGATTAGATGTTCCCATTAATCCTATTGATCAGATGTTGGACCTTCTTTAACTCAATAAGTCTCAATATTTTCTCTTCAAATGTCTATAAATGTGTTTATTTGTTTGATTTTTATTGTTATTGCCTTTTTTCTTTGTTGTTTCTCTATTTTTTGGAAATTTCTTTGACTTCATTCTCCAAATTTTCTGCTGACTTTGTATTTTAGTAGTCATATTTTGTTTCTAAGATTTCTTACTATTCTTTTTTCATAGCTATTTATTATTTGAGGATATTAGCTACAGATTACCTCCACTTCCTGTTTACTTGTCTACTTGTTTCTCATATTGGAAGCTTTTCTCAAACGTCTGGTATCTTTGGATATCTATTCTTACAGACTGTAAAATAATAGTGTTACTGAGGATGATATGACTTTGTACATAAGTGAGACTTGCTTATGGGGATTCTCTGTAGAATCATTTGGCAAGGAAACAGTCATATTATTATGAGGATCTCCCCCATGCTATTATATACAGCAATCTTTTAATGGAGTTATTCAGCTTATTGAGAGAAGATTTTTTCAACCTCCTGCTTTGAGGCACATTTCTTAGTGCTAAGAGTGAGGTGTGTCTGTATGTAAGTAGGAATGGGGATGTCTCGTCATTCAAAATCTAATTTTTATCCATTTTCCATTTTCAGCCTCAACCTTTTCTGAATCCAAAGTCACACCTATTTAAATTGTGCAAAGTAATCTCCAGTCTGTAATAGGAGGAGGAGATGGAAAATGTACTCACATTGTTTTATGGGGATAGAATTGGAGACTGGACAATCTCACCATTCAGTGCTTTCAGACTTTCAACCAGTCCTTGCAGTTTTCCTTCTGAGTCTTATCCCCACCTTCTAAAATACCTAGTGCCTTCAAGTCATGAGCTTCTAAATGATTCCACAGGGGATTAGGGTCATGCTTCATCAATCTCTCACTCAGCAGTCAGTTTAGATTGCAGCTCCCTCATTGTTTTTTCTAAATCATTTATCACTTCTCTTTCCAATTTCTAAATTTATTTTTATTTTTGTCCACCAATGTTTTCTCTTTATCTGACTTTTACCTTTTCCAAATTTCTTTGTCAACATTTAACTAGAATCATGGGAAAGAAAAATAAAATTGTGTGGTCAATCAGCCATCTTAACTGGAAGTTCCTAAACTGCTCTAAATATTGGAATGCAAATGAGAGTCTTCTTTTTGTAAAGTAATATCTTAAAAGTATTCTAAATCTGCATATTTCTTTCCAACTTGCAAAGAATTTTCCCCATTATTCATTATCTAATACCAAATTTTGTACAAAAGATAATTGAGAATGTTTAAGGTAAAGTGACTAGCCCAGAGTTACATAACTAACAAGAATCATACTAATCACACTGGTGGAGACTATTTAATTAGAAAAATACTTGGCCAGAGGGATCCAAGATGGCCAAATAGGAACTGCTCTAGAGTGCAGTCCCCTGCGACAACAATGCAGAGGGTGAGTGATCACTGCATTTCCAAACGAATTGTTACTGCTCACAGATCAGGAGATTCCTGGGCTGAAAAGTGCCATGAGTTTCCAGTACAGCTGGTTCAGCCAGCGCAGCAGGACTCTGCACAAAAACTCACACAAATCTGGGTGGCCATTTCAACTGGTGCCTGGAACGCCTGAGAGACAGAGCCGCCCATTCAACTGAAGAAAAAGGGGCTGAAACAGGGAGCCAAGTGATCTGGCTTGGTGGGTGCCACACCCACAAAGACCAGCAATCTGAAACCCTCTGGATTGAGAGTTTCACAGCAGGCACAACTGGACCTGGGACGTTCCAGCTCTGTTGGGGGAAGGGCATCCGCCATTACCAAGGCAGTCCACCATTACTGAGGCAGTCTGCCATTACCAAGGCAGCCCACCATTACTGAGGCAATCCACCATTACTGAGGCAGTCCACCATTACTGAAGCAGACCATCATTAATGAGGCAGTTCTAACTATACCTCTATAAACAAAACTGCAATGAAGTTCACACAGAAGCGGGACAGAGCCCATGGCAGCTCAGCAATGCCTCTGCTGGCAGACTGCCACTAGGCTACCTCCTTGCTGGGCAGGGCATCTCTGAAAAAAGGCAGCAGCACATCAGGAACTTATACATAAAGGTGCACCTTCACAGGAGAGAACACCTGGGAAAAAAGGTGGTTATGAGTTCCCCTGCAGCAGACTTAAATGTACTTGCCTAGCAGCTCTGAACAGAACAATGGAGCTCACAGCTCAGCACTTGAGCTCCTATAAGGTATAGACTGTCTCCTCAAGCAGCTCCCTGACCTCTGTATATCTAAAAAGATACGTCATAAAGGAGAGCTCAGGCTGACATCTGGCAGGTATCCTTCTGGGATGAAGAAAACAGAAGAAGAAACTAGCAGAAACCCTTACTGTTCTGCAGCCACCACAGGTGATCCCCAGGCATGGTCTGGAGTAGACCTCCAGCAGTCCTACAGCAGAGGAAGGAAAACTAAAAAACAGAAAGAAATAACTTCATCATCAAAAAAAGGACGTCAACTCAAGGATCCCATCTGAAAGTCACCAACTACAAACACCACAGGTGGATAAATCCACAAAGACGGGAAATCAGTGCAAAAAGGATGAAAACACCAAAAAAAAAAAAAAAAAAAAAAAAGAATGCTTTTCCTCTTCCAAGGGATCACAACTCCTCACCAGCAAGGGAACAAAGCTGGATGGAGAATGCGTCTGATGAACTGACAGAATCAGGCTTCAGAAGGTGGGTAATAGCAAACTTCTTCTCTGAGCTAAAAGAACATATTTTAACCCAATGCAAAGAAACTAAGAACCTTGAAAAAAGGTTTGATGAAATGCTAATGAGAGTAAACAGGTTAGAGAAGAATATAAATGACTTGATGGAGCTGAAAAACAAAACACAAGAACTTCACAAAGCATATAAAAGTTTCAATAGCCGAATTGACCAAGTAGAAGAAAGGATATCAGAGATTGAAGATCAACTCAATAAAATAAAATGAGAAGGCAAGATTAGAGGAAAACATAGTGAAAATAAATGAACAAAGCCTCCAAGAAATATGAAATTATGTGAAAAGACCTAATCTACATTTGATAGGTGTACCTGAATGTGATGGAGAGAATGAATCCAAGCTGGAAAACACTCTTCAGGATATTATCCAGGATAATTTCCCCAACCTAACAAGGCAGGTGAATATTCAAGTCCAGGAAATACAGAGAACACCACAAAGATATTCCTCAAGACGAGCAACCCCATGGCACACAATTGTCAGATTCACCAGGGTTGAAATGAAGGAAAAAATGCTAAGCACAGCCAGAGAGAAAGGTCAGTTTATCCACAAAGGGAAGCCCATCAGACTCACAGTGATCTCTCAGCAGAAACACTACAAGCCAGAAGAGAGTGGGGGCCAATATTCGACATCCTTAAAGAAAAGAACTTTCAACCTAGAATTTCATATCCAGCCAAACCAAGCTTCATAAGCAAAGAAGAAATAAAATCCCTTATGAACAAGCAATTGCTGAGAGATTTCATCACCACCAGGCCTGCCTTACAAGAGCTCCTGAAAGAAGCACTAAACATAGAAAGGAAAAACCAGTACCAGCCACTGCAAAAATATACCAAATGGTAAAGAGCATTGACACAATGAAGAAACTGCATCAACTAATAGGCAAAACAACCAGCCAGCATCAAAATGGCAGGATCAAATTCACACATAACAATATTAATCTTAAATGTAAATGGGCTAAATGTCCCAAACAAAAGACACAGACTGGCAAACTGGATAAAAAGTCAAAACCCAACTGTGCTATATCCAGGAAACCCAACTCACATGCAAAGATACATGTAGGCTCAAAATAAAGGGATGGAGGAAGATTTACTAAGCAATAAAGAGTAAAAAAAAGCAGGAGTTGCAATCTTAGTCTCTGATAAAATAGACTTTAAACCAAAAGGATCAATGCAACAAGAAGAGCTAACAGTCTGAAATATACACGCACCCAATACAGGAGCACCCAGATACATAAAGCAAGAATCAAAGACAAAAACCACGAGAATATTGCAATAGATGTGGAGAAGGCCCTTGACAAAATTCAACAGCACTTTATGCTAAAAACTCTCAATAAACTAGGTATCGACGGAATGTATCTCAAAATAATAAAAGTTATCTATGACAAACCCACAGCCAATATCATACTGAACAGGCAAAAACTGGAAGCATTCTCTCTGAAACCTGGGACTAGACAAGGATGCCCTCTCTCACCACTCCTATTCAAAATGGTATTGGAAGTTCTAGCCAGAGCAATCAGGAAAGAAAAAGAAATAAAGGGTATTCAATTAGGAAAGGAGGAAGTCAAATTGTATCTATTTGCAGATGACATGATTGTATATTTAGAAGACCTCATCATCTTAACCCCAAAATCTCCTGAAACTGATAAGCAACTTCAGCAAAGTCTCAGGATACAAAATCAATGTGCAAAAATCACAAGCATTCCTAAACACCAATAACATTCACAACTGCTACAAAGAGAATAAAATACCTAGGAATACAACCAACAAAGGATGTAAAGGACCTCTTCGAGGAGAACTACAAACCTACAAACCACTGCTCAAGGAAATAAGGTAGGACACAAACAGATGGAAAAACATTCCATGCTCACGATTAGGAAGAATCAGTATTGTGAAATGGCCCTTTTTCACAATAGTAATTTATAGATTCAATGCTATCCCCATCTACCCATGACCCTCTTCACAGAACTGGAAAAACCACCTTAAACTTCATATGAAACCAAAAGAGAGCTCGCATAGCCAACACAATCCTAAGCAAAAAGAACAAAGCTGGAGGTATCATGCTACCTGACTTCAAACTATACTACAAGGCTACAGTAATCAAAACAGCTTGGTATTGGTACCAAAATAGAGATATAGACCAATGGAACAGAACAGAGGCCTTGAAGGCAATGTCACACATCTACAACCATCTGATCTTTGACAAACCTGACAAAACAAGCAATAGGGAAAGGATTCCCTGTTTAATAAATGGTGTTGGGAAAACTGGCTAGCCATATGCAGAAAGCAGAGGCTGGACCCCTTCCTGACACCTTACATTAAAATTAACTCCAGATGGATTAAAGACTTAATCATAAGACCTAACAACATAAAAATACTGGAAGAAAACCTAGGCAAAACCATTCAGGACAGACACACAGGCAAGGACTTCATGACTAAAATACCAAAAGCATTGGCAACAAAAGCCAAAATAGACAAATATGATCTAATTAAATCCAGAGTTTCTGTACAGCAAAACAAACAATCATTAGAGTGAACTAGCAATCAACAGAATGGGAAAAAATTTTTGTACTCTACCCATCTGACAAAGGGCTAATACCCAGAATCTACAAAGAACTAAAACAGATTTACAAGAAAAAAACCAACAAACCCATTCAAAAATGGGTGATGGATATGAACAGACGCTTTTCAAAAGAAGACATATATGAGGCCAAGAAACATATAAAAAAATGCTCATCATCACTGGTCATTAGAGAAATGCAAATCAAAACCACATTGAGACACCATCTCACACCAGTTAGAATGGCGATCATTAAAAAATCTGTTGTGGAGAAATAGGAACACTTTTACACTGTTGGTGGGAGTGTAAATTAGTTCAAACATTGTGGAAGACAGTGTGGTAATTCCTCAAGGAACTAGAAATAGAAATTCCATTTGACCCAGGAACCCCTTACTGGGTATATACCCAAAGGATTATAAATCATTCTATTATAAAGACACATGAACACATATGTTCATGGCGGCATTGTTTACAATAGCAAAACCTGGAACTAACCCAAATGCCCGTCGATGATAGATTGGACAAGGAAAATGTGGCACATATACACCATGGAATACTATGCAGCAATAAAAATGATGAGTTCGTGTCCTTTGTAGAGACATGGATGAATGTGGAAACCATCATTCTCAGCAAACTGACACATGAACAGAAAATCAAACACCACCCGTTCTCACTCATAGGCGGGTGTTGAACAATGAGAACACATGGACACAGGGAGGGGAGCATCACACACTGGGGTCTGTTGTGGGGGACTACGGTAGGGTCAGCAGGAGGTAGGGAGGTTGCAGAGGGATAACATGGGGAGAAATGCCAGATATAGGTAACAGAGGAGGGGTGGAGGCAGCAAACCACTTTGCCATGTATGTACCTATACAACAATCCTGCATGTTCTGCACATGTACTCCAGAACCTAAAGTGTAATTATATATATATATATATATATATATATATATATATAATAAAACAGAAAAATACTTGGCCATTATCTAAGTCTTAAACCATGATTAATCATGAATTGAAGAACATAATTATTTCAAGAATTTGTTGTCTTTTTTAAGAATTAAATAAAAATTCTCAAGTGCCTTATTCTCTTGATGAAAATATTTAAAAATTCAACTAAAATTTGTAAACTGAATAATTTAACATCATTCTAATTGTTTACTGTAATGTCAAAAGCAAAGCATATGGGACAAGTACTAAATTGTGTCTCTATTGTCTGGAATAGTTCTGCTTTTGCACTATTAGAATAAAAAAAAGAGCTCAGTAAAATAAGCCGCACATCACAGCAACCAGCTCTAATTTTACCATAGGCTCTATCTTTGGCTTAAACTCATCAACAGTGGTTGTTGAAACTTACCGCTATATCCTCTCAATTTCTTTCCCATCTATTCACTCTCAGCAAGTGACTAGCCTCTCTAAGTGGCAAGAATAAGATTATATGGTAAACATGTCCTTAAATTCACTTTTCTATTTCTCAATATTCTCCATATTCTAAATATTCTATACATTTATTTTTCTTTAGAGAATGACTTTTTTTCTTTCCTTTCTGGACATGTATGGTAAATATGTCCTCAGATTCACTTTTCTATTTCTCAATATTCTCCATATGCTAAGCATTCTATACATTTCTCTTCCTTTAGAGGATGACTTTTTTCTTTCCTTGCTAGGATTAAACTTGGGCCCTTAAACCTTTTCTCTCTCACACCTACTTCATGATGTTTCTGTATTATGTATTTTATTGTTCATATATCTTCAATTTTTCTCATCTCCATTGAGTCCTCTTTCATCTATACAAACATAACTAAGCCTTTCACATCTTATAAAAGAGCTTCCTGTGATCCTGCTAACTTCTTAAGCAATTTGTGCAGCTTTTTCCTTTTCTGCACACCAAACATCTTAGATTAGATAACACTACTTACACATACTCACTGCCCACTCATTGTTCAACCCCTTCCTTTCTGATTTCATCATGGGAATACTGTTGAGTATAAAAGGTAACTGGTAATCCATTCTTCAATACAGTTCACTTGTCAAATGTTTCATTATCCTCTATCTCTTAAAATATTTAAATGTGGTCATGTATTTATTTACTTTTGTGTGTGTGTGTGTGTGTGTGTGTGTGTGTGTGTGTGTGTGCGCGCGCATTACTTATTGTGAACCTGGGCATTTTTCTTGGTAGTAAAGAATAATAAACAAAACAAACTTAGATCCAATTCTTATGAGGCTTCCAATTAAGTAATTGGAACACATGGTACAAATGAACACACTAAAAATATCTTATTTCAAATTGTAGTCAGTATAGTGAAAAATGGCTGTTATGGGATCTAATTTAGATTATGAAGTGCATATCTAAAAGACAAAGAGGCATTAGACAAGTAAAAAGCAGGGGACAGTTTCAGACAGAGTGAAGAGCAAATCAAAGTCCCTAAGGTGGAAAAGAAAGAATTTAAAATATTCAAGAAAGATGAAGATTATTGTGGCTGAACCAGTCAGGCAGTAGAAGGTAGCAGGCAATTAGACTGGAGTAACAGGCACCGATCACACAGGCCGTGTGAAAAATTATGGATTTCTTCATAACTGTGTGGACCCCCATAGAAGGAATCAAGCTGAAGACTAATATTCAATTTACATTTACATAAGATCAATCTGGCTGCTGGGTGCTTCTACGCTAGAGGTGGACAAGAGCGGAAACAGGAAGACCAGTCAATATGCTACTGCACATCGTCTGGGTTAAAAATGAGAATGGCTTGTCTTGGAACGATGGCAGTGGCTATGGATAGAAGCAAACTGATTTATAATATATAGTTGACCCTTGAACAATGCAGGAGTCAGGAGCATCAAGCCTCACACAGTCAAAAATTTATGTGTAACTTTTGACTCCCCCCAAACTTAACTAGTAATAGCCTACTATTGATGGAAAGCCTCATTAAATAACATAAACAAGCAATATACATTTTATGTTTATGTATTACAAAGTTTATTCTTACAATAAAGTCAGCTTCAGAGAAGAAAATGTTATTAAGAAAATCATAAAGGAGAAAATATATTTACTCTGTATTAAATGGAAGTGGATGATCATAGAGACCTTAAACCTCAGTGTCATCACACAGTGAGTAGGCTGAGGAGGAGCAGGAGGAGAGGTTGGTCTTGCTGTCTCGGAGGTGGCAGCAGTAGAAGAAAACCCGCATATAAATGTACCTGAGCAGTTCCAACTCATGTTGTTCAAGGGTCAACTGTATTTTGGAAACAAAATCTACGGAACTTAATGATATATTTGGAGGTAGGGGGAAGTGAGGGGACCACAGATGTAGAAGAGATCAGATGAGTGAAGGAGAAGAATTCGAAAAATCAAAAGTTCTATTCTGTGTATCCTCCTCTTTGAAGCCTTTTCTTACACATGACCTATTTTTCTGGCCTTGTTTTTAGCCATTTTATTTCATTTTCTTGTCCCAAATGCAAACATGCTTGAAGGCACTCTGCCTCCGCAATCCTCTTTCAGTTTCACCTGGCCCTAAATGCTAAGCAGATGACTCATTATTTTTTCTCTCTTGATTCATCCAATTTCCTGAGCTATGACACATTTTTAATTGTTTTTTGAACATTTCTCTTTAGATGACCCCTTTGTATCTCCAACTCAACTCAAAATTAAATTCGTTTTTTCCGCATATCTACGATGGTTCTTATTTATATCACCACTACCATCTTTCCAGTCACCCAGACACATATTCATCACTAACTTCTGCTTCCTCCTTGCTCTTTGCTTCAGTTGCTATGGTTTTATCAGTGCACTCTGTCGCATTTTATGTTCCTACCTTCCTTATATTTTCCTGAAGTGGAAGCCCTGATTGTAACTTAAGCCCCCATTATACTTTACCAGATTATTTTTATCACTTCTATCTTCCTACCTTCAATATCTTTGCTATTCTACCAACCAGCACATGACCTTTAGAGTAATCATCCTAAATGACAATTGTAATCACTTCATTTGTGTCTAAAATCTTCAATGATTCTATTATCGTCATTCTATTATCTTCAGAGTAATTTTCAAATATCTCAAAAGTGTATTAAATGCTTCTATGATTTGACCCCAATCTATCGTCTACTTTGAGTCTGAAATAACTTGAGTGTCTCATTCTCCTGAAAATCTGTCTGATGCTTTCACAACGTTGTCCCTTTGCTCATGCCACGTTGCTGCCTTCACCTTTTCATACTGAAAACCTTCTTTCTTAAAAGCATAAAATGATGTCTCTCTCACCTCTTCAACTAGCAGTAAGTTCTTCTTCTGATACTCCCCAATAGAATATGAGTCTGCAATAGAACAGACTTTTTTCATCTTTTATCCCCCACAGTGCTGAGCATAGTATCTAGCATACAGCAGGAACAGAGCAAATATTAAATTGAATTGACATATTAGCACTCTTTCTGATGAGTTTGTAATGTACCCAATAATCTTGATAAATGTGATTATATAATGAATTTGGCCTTAAAGTCAGATGATATGTGAAATGTATATTTTTTATGTGAGCCGTTTGCAGAACACAAATCTCTACTTTACTATGAGTAAGCCTTTATAGACCTTAATTTAAAATAGTAATAAATTAAGAATTCCTCAAATTTTTGAACTGAGGTTTAATTGAGATTTCCTCCTTTTTTACACCTTTGATTTCTTGGGGACCCTGGAAAGAGCAGTCTTTATGAATATATTTAAATTCTGAGACATAATCAAAAATTTACCTACCAGTTTCTCTATCAACCAAAATAAACACTAACCTATTTAAACATTAGATTGATTTTTCTGAACTGAAAGCTTTGCCTTATCTAAAATTTTATGCAAGTTAGCAAAATGTGACTATCTGTAAATTTCAAGTAAATTCCATCAAGCTAAAGTTTGCCTCTGCTCTAACAATAGGATTAAGTCCAATAATATGAATGCTAAATGGAGAAATGGAACGGTTAGAGTAGATATGGACTCTGTAACAAAATCCGTACTCATTTTCAAGAAAAAACTTCTAGATAATTCCTTAAAAGTAAAAGGAAGAGTTTGACCACTATCTGAATAATTGTTTGCATTTGTACTCTTCATTTAGCTAATTTATCTCTTTAAGAAATTTTTTTCTAAACCTGTTTCTAGTCTTTAATTCTTTAATAGCTACTTTGCCTTCTCTGTAAAAATTAGAGAAATGGTAGACAACCGAGGACCAATAATACCTTATTTCAAAAATATGTTTATAATATAATTAAAATTATATTTAAAAAGTTTTATATTTGAACTTCCTCCAAATCATTTTTGACTCATATATCTTTTTTATAAAAGTTATCTAGGATGATATCTTATTTGGTAATAGAAGTTTTAAATCGTTTTATCTGCAATAATAATTGCTACTAATTCAAGGGATCTGCATCTGCAGATTTAACCAATCTTGAATAAAAAATACATGGTTGCTAGTTGTATAACTAGGTATTTTATTATCTTTGCAGCAGTTGTGAATGGGAGTTCCCTCATGATTTGGCTCACTGTCTGTTATTGGTGTATAGGAATGCCTGTGATTTTTGCACAGTGATTTTGTATCCTGAGACTTTGCTGAAGTTGCTTATCAGTTTCAGGAGATTTTGGGCTGAGACCATGGGGTCTCCTAAATATACAATCATGTTGTCTGCAAATAGAGACAATTCCTAATTGAATACTCTATTTCTTTTTCTTGCCTGATTGCTCTGTCTAAGAACTTCCAATACTATGTTAAATAGGAATGGTGAGAGAGGGCACCCTTGTCTAGTGCTAGTTTTCAAAGGGGAATTCTTCCAGTTTTTACCCATTCAGTATGATATTGGCTGTAGGTTTGTTGTAGATAGCTTTTATTATTTTGAGATATGTTCCATCAATACCTAGTTTATTGAGAGTTTTTAGCATAAACAGCTGTTCAATTTTGTTGAAGGCCTTTTCCACATCTATTGAGATAATCATGTGGTTTTTGTCTTTGGTTCTGTTTATGTGATTGATTACATTTATAGATTTTTGTAGGTTGAACCAGTCTTGCATCCCCAGGATGAAGGCTACTTGATCATGATGGATAAGCTTTTTGATGTGCTGTTGCATTGTTTGCCAGATTTTATTGAAGATTTTTGCATCTATGTTCATCATGGATATTGGCCTGAAATTTTCTTTTTTACTTGTGTTTCTGCCTGGTTTTGGTATTAGGATGATGTTGGTCTCATAAAATGAGTTAGGGAGTATTCCCAATTTTTGTATTGTTTGGAATAGTTTCAGAATGAAGGGTACCAGCTCCTCTTTGAACATCTGGTAGAATTTGGCTGTGAACCCATCTGGACCTGGACTTTTTTTGGTTGGTAGGCTATTAATTGCTGCCTCAACTTCAGACCTTGTTATTATTCTATTCATGGTTTCGATTTCTTCCTGTTTAGTTTTGGGAGGGTGTAAGTGTCCAGAAATTTATCCATTTCTTCTAGATTTACTGGTTTATGTGCATAGTGTTGTTTGTAGTAGTCTCTGATGGTAGTTTGTATTTCTGTGGAATTGGTGGTGATAATCCCTTTATCATTTTTTATTGCATCTATTTGATTCTTCTCTCTTTTCTTTTTTATTAGCCTGGCTAGCAATCTATCTATTTTGTTGATCTTTAAAAAAAAAACCAGCTCCTTGATTTTTTTAAGGGTTTTTTGTGTCTCTACCTCCTTCAGTTCTGCTCTGATCTTAATTATGTCTTGTCTTCTGCTAGCTTTTGAATTTGTTTGATCTTGCTTCTCTAGTTCTTTTAATTTTGACAATAGGGTGTCGATTTTAGAACTTTCCTCACTTTTCATGTGGGCATTTAGTGCTATAAATTTCCCTCTAAATACTGCTTTAAATATGTCCCAGAGATTCTGGTATGTTGTGTCTTCATTCTTATTGGTTTCGAAGAACATCTTTATTTCTGCCTTCATTTCATTATTTATCTAGTAGTCATTCAGGAGCAGGTTGTTTAGTTTCCATGTAGTTGTTCGGTTTTATGTGATTTTCTTAGTCCTGAGTTCTTTTTTGATTGCGCTGTGGTCTGAGATACTGGTTGTTATTATTTCCATTCTTTTGCATTTGCTGAGGAGTGATTTACTTCCAACTATGCAGTTAATTTTAGAGTAAGTGCATTTTGGTGCTGAGAAGAATGTATATTCTGTGGATTTGGGGTGGAAAGTTCTATAGTTGTCTATTACATCCAGTTGGTCCAGATCTGAGTTCAAGTCCTAGATATCCTTGTTAATTTTCTGTCTCGTTGATCTGTCTAATATTGACAGTGCAGTGTTAAAGTCTCCCACTATTATTGTGTGGGAGTCTAAGTCTCTTTGTAGGTGGTTAAGAACTTGCTTTATGTAGCTGGGTACTCCTGTATTGGGCGCATATATATTTAGGATCATTAGCTCTACTTGTTGCATTGATCCTTTTACCATTATGTAATGCCCTTCTTTGCCTCTTTTGCTCTTTGTTGGTTTAAAGTCTCTTTTATCAGAGACTAGGATTGCAACCCCTGCTTTTTTTTTTTTTTTTTTTTTTTTTTTTTTTTTTTTTTTTGCTCTCCATTTGCTTGGTAAATCTTCCTCCATCCCTTTATTTTGAGGCTATGTGTGTCCTTGCATGGGAGATGGGTTTTCTGAATACAGCACACCGATGTTTCTTGACTTTTTATCTGGTTTACCAGTCTGTGTCTTTTGATTTAGTCTGTTTACATTTCAGGTTAATATTGTTATGTGTGAATTTGATCCTGCCATTTTGATACTAGCCGGTCGTTTTGCTCATTAGTTGACACAGTTTCTTCATTGTTTCGATGGTCTTTACCATTTGGTACGTTTTTGCAGTGGCTGGTACTGGTTGTTCCTTTCCATGTTTAGTGTTTCCTTCAGGAGCTCTTGTAAGGCAGGCCTAGTGGTGATGAAATCTCTCAGCAATTCCTTGTCCGTAAAGGGTTTTATTTCTCCCTCACTTATAAAGCTGAATTTGGCTGGATATGAAATTCAAGGTTGAAAGTTCTTTTCTTTAAGGATGTTAAATATTGGCCTCCACTCTCTTCTGGCTTGTAGGATTTCTGCCGAGAGATCCACTGTGAGTCTGATGGGCTTCCCTTTGTGGGTAACCTGACCTTTCTCTCTGGCTGCTCTTAGCATTTTTTCCTTCATTTCAACCCTGCTGAATCTGATGATTATGAGCCTTGGGGTTGCTTTTCTTAAGGAATATATTTGTGGTGTTCTCTGTATTTCCTGGATTTTACTGTTAGTCTGCCTTGCTTGGTTGGGGAAAATCTCCTGAATAATATCCTGAAGAATGTTTTCCAGCTTAGAATCATTCTCCCCGTCACATTCAGGTACACCAATAAAACAGATGTGAAGGACCTCTTCAAGGAGAACTACAAACCACTGCTCAAGGAAATAAGAGAGGACATAAACAGATGTAAAAACATTCCATGCTCATGGTTAGGAAGAATCAATATCATGAAAATGGCCATACTGCCCAAAGTAATTTATATAGATTCAATGCTATCCCCATCAGGCTACCATTGAACTTCTTCACAGAACTGGGAAAAAAAACACCTTAAACTTAAACATTATATGGAACCAAAAAAGAGCCCACATAGCCAAGACAACCCTAAGAAAAAAGGGCAAAGCTGGAGGCATCACACTACCTGACTTCAAACTATACTATAAGGCTACAGTAATCAAAACAGCATGGTACTGGTACCAAAATATAGATATAGACCAAGGGAACAGAACAGAGGCCTCAGAAATAATGCCACACACCTACAACCATCTGATCTTTGACAAACCTGACAAAAAACAAGCAATGGGGAAAGGATTCCCTGTTTAATAAATGGTGTTGGGAAAACTGGCTAACCATGTGCAGAAAGCTGAAACTGTACCCATTCCTTACACCTTAGACAAAAATTAACTCCAGACGGATTAAAGATTTAAACATAAGACTTAACACCATAAAACCCAAGAAGAAAACCTAAGCAATACCATTCAAGGTATAGGCAAGGACTTCATGACTAAAATACCAAAAGCAATGGCAACAAAAGCCAAAATAGATAAATGGGATTGAATTAAACTTAAGAGCTTCTGTACGGCAAAAGAAACAATCATTAGAGTGAACTGGCAACCAACAGAATGGGAAAAAAATTTTGCAAGCTACCCATCTGACAATGGGCTAATATTCAGGATCTACAAAGAACTAAAACAAACTTACAAGAAAACAACAAACAACCCCATCAAAAAGTGGGCAAAGGATATGAACAGGCACTTTTTAAAAGAAGATGTTTATGCAGCCAACAAACATATGAAAAAAGCTCACCCCACCATTAGAGAAATGCAAATCAAAACCACATTGAGATACCATCTCACTTCAGTTAGAATGGCAATCATTAAAAAATCTGGAGCCAACAGATGCTGGAGAAGATGTGCAGAAATAGGAACACTTTTACACTGTTGGTGGGAGTGTAAATTAGTGCAACCATGGTGGAAGACAGTGTGGTGATTCCTCAAGGAGCTAGAAATAGAAATTCCATTTGACCCAGCAATCCCATTACTGGATATATACCTAAAGAACTATAAATCATTCTATTATAAAGACCATGCATATGTATGTTCACTGCAGCACTGTTTACAATAGCAAAGACTTGGAAGTAACCCAAATGCCCATCAGGGATAGACTGGATCAAGAAAATGTGGCACATATACACCATGCAACACTATGCAGCCATAAAAAAAGAATGAGTTCATGTCCTTTGCAGGGACATGGGTGAATCAGGAAACCATCATTCTCAGCAAACTGACACAAGAACAGAAAACCAAACACCATATGTTCTCACTCATAAGTGGGTGTTGAACAATTAGAACACACGGGGACACATGAAGGAGAACATCACACAGTGGGGTCTGTTGAGGAGTAGGGAGCTAGGGGAGCCATAGCAGGGGGTGGGGAGGTTGGGAAGAGATAACATTAGGAGAAATACCTAATGTAGGTGAAGGGGGGATGGAGGTAGCAAACCACCAAGGCATGTGTGTACCTATGTAACAAACCTGCAAGATCTGCACATGTACCCCAGAACTTAAAGTAAAATAATAAAAAAAGGTTGCAAAAAAAAAAAGATGGTCATGTATAGACTTTTTTTCTTGTCATTATTCCCTAAACAATATGGTATAACAACTATTTACATACCATTTGCATTGTATTAGGGATTATAAGTAACCTAGATATGATTTAAAGAATAGAGGAGGAGGAGCGTAGGTTATGTGCAAATAAATACTAAGCCTTTTCATTTAAGGGACTTGAGCAGCAAGAATTTTGGTTTCTTTGGGATCTTGGAATCAATCCCCAGCAGATATCAATTGTCTTATTTAAATGATCACAAGCACCTTACAAAGTAAACATCATTAACCCCACCTTAGAGCTGGGGAAAGTGATAATGATTTTACATTACAGGCCTGGGGTCATACATACAGGAAGTCAGGGAGTAGGAAGTCAACTCAGCCCTTTCTGAGACCAGAGCCTAAGCACTGTATGGTCAGACAGGAGAGTTAACTGGCGTCTAGATATTCTGAGGGAAAACAAATGATGAGGAAACATCGAATGTCAATGCATAAGAAATGTTAGGACCTGTTACATAAATCTCTAGCTCTTCCTTTAATTTTTTTTTCTTCTGCATTATTTCCTTTAGTTGCTGGAAATCTTTTTGCTGCATTGTCTGTGATGATAGCTGGCTTCTTTGAAATACACAGAAAACACTTCCCTCCAGTGGAGCAGCCCCTTTCAGGAAAAGTTCTCACTGTTTCCTCCATGCCCTGTTTCTACCTGATTCTTCAGTATGTTTTACTTGGAGTGGCAGAAACATTGGTAAACCCAGCCTGTAAGTAAACACTTTTTCAACTAATGTTACAACATACTGAACCTTTACACAGAACACATCACCTCAACCAGAACAATTAAAATGGCAGGTGATCTATTCACACCCTAGAGAGTTCCCACAATACTTCAAACAAATTTATTTCTTTCATTTTTACAAAACATTTCATTTCTCCTCAGTCCTCTACCACATACAGAACAATTATCAATTCCGCCTGGATGTAGATGGAGCAAAATATTTTTAACCTGGTTAAAGGCAATAACCATTCTGTCAGACATACCAAAGGAGGAAAACCTCTGTTAAAATCCAGGAGACAACTCCAGAACATTAAGATGAAAACTCTTCTCTCTTTCCTCCTCTCACCTCCCTCCACTCTCACTCATAAACTCACACACATACCCCTCCAAAAATGACATTTAATGTTCTTTGAGAGTATATAAACATGCAAATGAAATGAAAATTTAAGCCAATTTTCCAGATAACTCAATGTCTTTAAATTAAATTACAGTAGATTAAATGTGATCACTAATGTTTCATAAGACAAGTTCAAAATAAGTTTATTAAATGTCAAGGGTTTCTGAATTATCTAGATTGCTTATATTAATTAAACTAGCCATTTTATAATTTATCACAATATTTCAGTGACTTCTTGCAATACAGTAATGTGTGTGTACATATACTTATCAGTGTAATTGATTACATCTTATGTTTCTAACTTCCTTAAATTTTCCGGTAGTAAGAGTCGTGATTGTAACTCAACCCCCCATTATACTTTACAGATAATATAATTATAACTTCTAACTATCTTCCTGTCTCCAGTCTCTCTCCCATTCTATCAACTGGCACATGGATTTTAGAGTAGTCATCCTAAATAACAATTCTAACCATTCCATTTGTGTCTAAAATCTTCAATGAACCTATTATCTCCAAAGTTGTTTCCAAACTTTTTAAAGATAAATAGTTAATAAATATGTATTTAAACACATACATACTTATGATACCAAAGCAATTCACTAAAAAGTGAAAATAAAATTAAGTTTGAGTATAGTTATATATATATGTGTGTGTGTCTCAGACTTCTTTTTTTATAATTTTAAATCATTTCTTTTCATATATTTTACATACATAAATTACTTTATGAGACTTTCTACTGGGGACCTCACTGTTTAACATTGCAAGGAAGACAAAAGAAGTGTAAAGCAATGCTACTACACAAATATTTGTGATTTCCTCTGATGCTATTCCCAAAAATGTGTTGGAAGTAGTCAGCCAAAATTTTCTGGGCTGGTACAGAGTAAATAATGAGGAAAGGTAATGAGTGAATATGGGGAGGAAATTCCTAGCCAGCTTAGCAATAATGATTCGACATACAAAAGCCAGAGAGGTACATGAAACCAACAACTGTTAAAAAGGCAGATCATGTACTATACTTCACTTAAACCACCCCTCCTTGATATACTCATCAGGAGATCAGGTCTAACTGAAGTCCTAGCTAAGTCAACTGACTCATCTGCCATCAGGGTCATGGGCCAGGGACTGAAAGAATTTGGTTTGATTTCTAGCCTTTCCATTACTACCTACCTAAACTTGGGAACTCATATAACCTCCAAGCCTCACTTTTCTGGTATTCAAAATAGAAATAATTTTATTCTTCCTTATATCAGAGCACTGATAGGGTAAGAATCAACAGGAATGAGAGACGACTCCTTCAAAATCAAATGACATAAAATATTAAAGGGTATTTTGAACTATAAAATCAAGTATTACCCTTCTGGGAGCCAGTACAGCATAGAGGTTAGGCTTTATGGTCTTAAAGTCAGACAGACTTGAATTCAAACCCAGTTCTGCCACTGACTAACTCTGTGACCTTGGGAAAAGTATTCCTCATTTCTGGGCTTTTCTCATCATCTATAAAACAGGGAGTTGTTCAAATGACTAACTGGAAGATTTTATGTAAAGCAAAAACCGCAGTGCCTAGAATATAGACAGCATTCAATAATTAGCAGTTATAATGTTTTGCTGTTATCATTACTAAAAGTAACCGCAAAAACCGCAATTACTTTTGTACCAACCTAATAATATCATCTTTCACATGAATTGATAGTGCCAGACGCAGAACAGAAGCACAGGTGTCCTGCTCCCAGCTCTTTTTGCCATAAGAAACCTGAACAGCCAGGAGACCTGGCAGTGTAAGCAGAGCTGTCTCCCACCAGAGTCATCCTACATCCGTCTCTTTCCTCTTACCTCTCCCCTCTAATCCAACAGCAAGTCCTAGCTTTTACTCTGAAATAGAACTTAAATCTGGCCACAGCTCACTATCCCCTTTGTTCTCCTTCTGGCCTACAACACCATCATCTCTAGCTCTGATTCCACCAGAGCCTCTGAACCTTTCTCCCTGCTTCCTCCCTGCCCTATGAGTCCATTCTCTGTTCTTCTCAAAATATAAGTCCTTTCGTTCCCCGGCTTGAAATTCCACAGTAGGATTTTAGAGAGAAATTCCTCACCGTGGTGAATAAGGCTCCACATGATTTGGTCTCTGGGTGTTGTTCCACCTACATTTGGTTACATTCTGCCCCTTGACCACATCTCCAGAAGTGTGTGTGTTTCTAAGATGCTAGACTTCTTTCTACTGCAAGGCCTTTGCACTTGCTTTTCTCTTTATTAAGAATTCCCTTTCCTCTGTTTTCAAATGAGTGACTTCTTCTCATTTTTGTGCCTTCTCAAAGGTCATCTCTTTGGAGGGGTTTCCTTGAGCATTCCATCACTTTCTATTTCATTACTCTGAATTTTTTTTTAATGGTACTTGTCAGAATCTGAAATTACTTTATTTATATTTGTATTGCCTGACTCACACTGTGAGAATATACACTCCTGACGTCAGTGTATGTTTTTCCTTCCTGCAAAGTACATGTGCAAAATAGGTGATCAATCAACATATTTTGATTGAAGAAACAAACAAATGAAATCTATGGCTATTTTTATATAGTACGATAAAAATATATTGTTCAAACACTTGACAATGTCCTACATTGATGGCATTAAGCAAGGAAACACAAAGAATCACTCAATCACTCCACAAATGATAGTGGACATAGTCTATCCTATTCAGACATGTTATACTTTGGAGATAAGCTAGAGAAAAAAGAGCAGTAGAAAACTTTTCAAATTATGTTTTCATTGTAGCAGTGTACACCTCAGTTGTCTCATACTCTATGTTTGCTTACTCAAAAAAATACTGTGTGGGTATCTACAATGTGACTACTACTGCTCTCGAGGCTTTGGACGCATCAGTTAATAAAAATAAGACAAAAATGTCTGCCATGTAGAGCTTATAGCATTTCTTATAGCCTTCTGAGACAGAAGGCTCTAGTCTGAGAAGGGTGCACAAAATTGTGATTATGGAGTGGGTGCAGTTATTGTCCCAGGGCATGGCTTTGCAGGCCAGTCTCTGTTACAATTACTCAACTATGTCATTGTGGTATGAAAGCAGCCGTAGACAACATATAATTAATGAGTGTGACTGTGTTCCAATAAAACTTTATTAAAATAGGTGGCAAGCTGATCATTGCCTGGTCACATAGTATTGACCAACTGCTTGTCTGAGGTACAAGGCATAGGCCATGACCTTGTGTGTGAGTGGAGTGGAAGCTAAGGTAGATTGGAGATCAAGGACATTGGAGGTCAAGAACTGGACAACCAAGATTGAAAGGATGGATGGTTGGAAGGATGATCTATATGTATAGCAAAATTGCCAAGCATTAAGGCAGGAATAGTACCAGAGAGTGTGACAATGAGAGAGGAACTGATAACTTTGAGAAAGAGGAAAACGTCCTATAGATTGGCAGATGACAGCACAAAAGAGAAATAGTAGATGATATAATCTGATAACATGAAGTTCAAAGCTGAAGCTTTTTTAGGGTGAAGGGGGAAATAATGGTCGAAAAATGGCAACAGGATAAGGTTCCACTTACTGGGACTATGATAATTCACACGTTCAAAATAACTTCACCAAACACAATAAACACATTTTAACTGTTTAAGAACAACTAGAGTAAAAAAAATTTCCAGCAATAAGTCCCCAGTACCAGGTGCCTTAGGAAGGTGGTTATGGCCCTGTATTTTGTAGATTCTGCATATGCTGTGATGCGGCATCTTTGCAAGCACTTACCAGCTACTATCTGGAGGCACATTTTTAGCACTCATTTGCAAGAAGACCAGCTTTCACATACACATCGAATATGTTTTCTATTGTATCTTCCTAGTAAAATGGGAATTTTAGAATCTTGACAGACTTGTTGATATTATGTACATTGTAATGGGCTAAAAGAAATATCTTGGAACCTAAAAAACCAAATTGATGATCACAAAAGTTTCGAAAGATAAGAACATGCAAGTAGATGCCTAAAAATGTAGATTTGAGAACTTGAAAAGCTAAGTCCTATGAAAGGGAACTGGAGGTTTTCAAACACGACTAAAATGACACCAAAGAGAGATTAACCAGCAGGCTGAGAGCTGGCAAAGTGTGTTCATGAATTATATACCATACCAGAAGTTCTAGCAAGAGAAAAGCATAGGATTAATAATTAACCAGCAGAGTAATAATGGGATTGTATGTTCTGCTTTTTCTCAGTGAAAGAAATCGGCCTACTTACTCTTTCTGCCCATTGCTAATTTCCTTGTATTTATGGAGAGGAAAGTTTATAAGCCAAATCCTTTTTATAACTGTGAATCATTTCTTCCCAAAGCCTATCCAGGCTTCCTCTCACACTCCCATTTGGACCTTTCTGAAAATACTCCAAGCTCCTGCTGGTGATCGGTACTACACAAAAGAGCTGTGTTACCTTGCCACCAATATTTGAAGCCTATTTTATCTATCACCATTTTTATCTATCACCATTATTATCTGCATCTATCACCATTATTATCTGTATTTTATCTATCACCATTATTATCTGCATCTCCAATCAGCATTTGTGGGAAAAGTGCGCATTTAGCACTGCTCTTTATATTAAATAATGTACTGTTTCTGCTCCGGAGTTAAAATCCAGGAAAGATAAACTGATGCCTTTTCCCATCTCTCAGTTCCAGCACTTGGCACTTTCCTGAAGCACAAAGAGGGACTCCTTTAAATGTTTATGCGATAAATAAATCAAAACATGTGGAGGACACACCAAAAGTAAAACAGAAATGTTACATTAATGAAGGAAAGAGCGTTAATGCATTTACGTCATGTGTTAGTAAGTTCACGGAAAAGTTCTGGTAAATGCAGAGTTTTGCTGCAGCAAGGTATTAAAAAAGAAAAAAAAAATGGGGTAAATATTCCTGAGAGGAGCGGGAGGAGATAATAAGGTCTCTTACTTCTCACAGTAAAGGACACTAAAGCTTTAGGGTTTACAGTACAGTCATGTACCGCATAACAACATTTGGTCCATGATGGATCACATGGTGGTTTCATAAGATTATAATATTATATTTTCATAAGAATATACAGGTATTGATCAACTTATGACCTATGCAACTTACGGCCATTCGACTTTACGACCACAATCGCTAGCCATGACTGCTCCGCGTCTGGCAGCGCAAACGTTGCCCATCCAATAAAATGTTTTGTACATGTTTATGTATTTTGATATGTCTTGCAATTGGGAAAATGTTTCCTATGGTATTTTTTACACCTGTATTTTGTATTTTTGTATGCACCTGTATTTTGTAATTTTGTATGTTTTGCAAATATTAAACCAGTTGTACTGGTAATGCAGTGTTTTACTTAAACCTGACAAATGTAAAAATAAGAAACAAAATGGTGTAGAGATGATACAAATGGCATAAAATGAACAAAGAAAATTATGATATATAACAATAATGAAAGAAAATTACGATAAAATATGACTTAAAGATTTTGATAACATCATTTTACAGTACTGTACATATAGCCTACTCAACTTACCACCAACTCGTGTTACGACCGGTCTGTCGGAACCAATTGTGGTCGTAAGTCGAGCACTAGCTATATCTTTAACTGTATTATTTTTGTGTTTAGATATGTTCAGAATCACAAATACTGACCACTGTGCTCCAATTGCCAGCAGTATTCCGTACAGTCACACGCTGTACAGATTTGCTGCCTAGGAGAGTGAGAGGCTACCCATATAGCCTAGGTGTGTAGCAGGCTAGACCATCTAGGTTTGTGTAAGTACACTCTATGATGTTTGCACTATGACAAAATCGCCTAATGACACATTTCTCAGGACAGATCTCTATCACTAAGCCACGCATGACTGTACATCTGTTTTCTATCATCACTTTCCTTTTTAAAATGAGCTTTAATATTTGTTTATGATTTCATTGTACAAAACATTTGCAAAGCACAAAAGAGTAAGAGGAATATTAGAAATCCAGTAATTCACCCACTCAAAGCTAAGATTGTTAACAGTATTTAGCGTATTTCCTTACAACTTTTTGGCACACATATATAAAAGAGATTAGTATAATAAACTCCCCTGTATCCATCTTCTGGCATCAATAATTTTCAACTCATAGCCAAAACTTGTTTCATCTCTACCCTCATTCACATATATTCTCCCTCCTTGCTTTATAATTTTGAAGCAATCCTAAGTATCATATTAAAATAAACATAAAATATTTTAACACATAGCCCTAAGATCATAGTGCATTTTAATATATTATGTTTATAAAGCAAGTACAAAATCTCATATACTTATTTTCATCTATTTCTGATTTCAAAAGAAAGTTGTTTTTAATAGAAAATTTTTAAAAAATTATCTTTGTGATTTTTTTTAACCTCTTGGCGCAATCATTACTTTGCAAAAATGACATGGAAAGCAATGATAACCATTTTGGAGACTCAATGCTTAAGCTATTGTCTCTGTCTGAGTACCTCTCCTGAAATGAGATAATACATATTAAGGGCTTTGTACAGTGCCTGCACAAGTAGGAGCTACTCAGTTTGATAAGATTAATATTGTTAAAAAAAATCCTTATTCAGGACCTACAAGTCAGCATTATACTAAGCACTTTACATGTAGTATTGCAGGTAAGTGTCCCAACACCTCCGTGAGTGAAGAATGATATTATTCCCATTTCACAGAGTAGGGTATTGAGGCTTGAAAAGTTTAAGTCACTTACCTAAAATCACAGAGATAGTAGGTAACTGACATGGTATTTTGACACTATCTTATCTAACTCCAGAGCCCATGCCCTTAATTTTGATACAAATTTTATGTAATATAAGTTTTCTATAAGGAACCTAATGAATTACACAGAATCGCAGAATTAATAGATTGTCATGATGTTATCTAATACAGGCCATCCCTCAATCCAAAATTTATCAGAAATATTCAATTTGGAGTAAAATTAGGTTGAATATATTAGGGGACTCAACTACTAAGTAATCAAATTCTCCTTGTAGCTGGGTCAAGGTATATTTTGTCGTATTTTATTCCTTGAAGACATCTGTAAATTGTATCACAGTATAGCTTACTATAGTAACCTTAACGAAGTCCAACCCAAATTTTGACTGTGTCAGTAAATTTTCTTTGATATACAATCAACATCAATTTCAACAGTATCTATGGAAGTGTTTTCGGGAGAATGTTCTAAATTCTGACCTCTCTTTTTCTCTCAGTCTCTGTAATATCATACAGATTTGTTCCAAGCACCGTCAGAGGAACCTCCATGAATTTTCTGACACTGTTCAATGGATTTGGCTGTTTCACAGGGGCACTGCTGGTGGAGTTGGTATATCTCATCTCAGAAGGTAAAAACAGGTTCATGGCATGCTTATATACATTGATTTGATGACCAGGGAACTGGGAGACCAACCCTTAAGAGAGGGGCTTTGCCAGTGCAGTCTTCTTTTTTTAATTGATCCACTTTTGCAATTAAGATAGAATTAAGATAGGGAATACACTCTTGCTGTATTCATTAATTTTTGGGAATTGTTTTTCTTTTGATAGGAGGAGGTAATTACAGAATGTCACTTCTCATGAGACACTGTCTGCTGTCCTTAGTGTATTTTAAAACAAACTGGTCATTATATCCTTATTAGATCTTTCACTGAGGCCATATTCATTAATGCCTCACAGCTGTCATAGACAGGTCTCAGAAAAAGCAAGACCTGTGTAAACACAGGGCATAGGGTACCTAAATGATCTTTTTTTTTCTCATAATTTGCCATAGTTTTTATCTATGCAAACAAAGAGAAAGTGTGAGTTGAATAATGAATGATATTTGAAAATTTTCCCAATAGAGATTTTGGTCAGAAAAAACAACTAATCTGAAAAATTCAAATATTATTTGAAATACCGAAGTACCTACTAAAGCAAGTATTAGACTAAAGCAAATATTAACGAACTACTGTTTGGTTGCATGTCTCGATAAAAACAACAACCAGACAGGATGACAATAATGATTAGCCATCACAGTGAAATGACTTTGTCTGTATTTTAAATCTGGACTTTGGAAATTTTGTTCTAAATGCCAATATAGCTTTAATTTAATTTTAATTTACTTTTGCTTATTTAATGGAAATAATCACAAGTGTATTCTCTACTTTCAAAAACACTTATAGTTGTGCACTTAAAATGATGTAAGGAAAGTGTTAGTTTATGTTATCTTGTAACAAACAAATTTAATTTACGTGCTTTCAAACTATGGAAAAAATCAACTTCTATGAAGGAGACACTCTTTTTAACACTAAATCTCCACTCAAAAAATATTTATCAAGGACCCAATTTGTTCCAAGCACCACACTGGGCACTGGTGATACCATGGCAAGCAAAATAAACACTTGCAAGCCCTCAGGAAATTTCCAGGGGTACAAGGAAGCAATGAAATTTAAAGTGAAAAAGCCAATGGTATATATAGTAGCAAAGTTCTTGGGAAGAAACCTATTAATCCTTGATTGATGACTGACAAGATCAAACTCTACCCTTTTCTTAGTTATCTGTGAAAAATAAGGTAAAGCGTGTGTTGAATATGTACTAGGCCGTGTACTACATGGAATTGTGTGAGATATGGTCCAGTTCTCAAAGAAATCAAATTGAAACTGCCATACTAACTGTGTGAACTGTGGCAAGTTGCTGACTTCTCTAGTACTCAGATTCTTTGTACATAAACTAGAAACAAAGCACTGACATTAAGATTTTGTAAGATAACCTTGAAAAGTCTTACCTATATTCACACCTGAAACATTTTCAGTGTTGAACATGTTTCCTTTCTTTACATTGCTCAGCAAAGATATGTCCAAAAATTTGCTAAAACAGAATTTCTAGAATCAAATCACATTTGACATATACATGAAGACCTGCAAAGTCAAATATTACTACCAGTTTATCTTTTATACAAATGTAAATTTTTCATAGGCATGCTTAAGCAACTTACCCAGAGTTAGACCAAACAGCCTAGGTTAATTTTTCCCCAAGACTACCCTCACTTTAGATACTAGCCACAAGTTTGGAAGTTCCTAGAGCTGTCATCACCTCTGACGAGCTGCCTATAAATGTGGGGGCCCCACAGACTCTCTCAGTTATGATAATTTGCTAGAATAATTCACAGAACGTAGAAAAGTATAATACTTATGATTACAGTTTATTATAGCAAAACAATACAAATCAGAATGAGCTAAAGGGAGAGGCACATGGAGCAAAGTCTCGGAGGTTTCCGAAAGTGGAGCTTCTTTCATCCTCAGGGATGCACTACCCATTGGACACATCAATGTGTGATGATATAAGAATAATGCCAACCAGGAGAGCTCACCTGAGCTTCATGCCCAACGTTTCTATTGAGACTTGATCACATAGGCACTATTGATTGAATCATTGTGAGCTCAATCTCCATCCTCCTTCTGCTCCACAGAAGTTGGGCTGGTATACGTGGCTCAAAGCTCAAAGTCTGATCATGTGGTTGGTCTTCCTGGCTGGCCACTCTCCATTCTGAGTCATCTCATTACCATAAATTACCTGTGGGCCCTCTCCATTCTGAGTTGCCTCATTAGCATAAACTATCAGATGGGAACTGAGGGTCCCACCATAAATAACAGACATTCTATAGACTGCCTCCACATATTAGTCCAGGCAAAATTTTTAATCATATAACTATTCTTACAAAAGCATTTCACTGAAAATCTACATTTTTATTGAAAATCTGTTTAGTATGGTAGGAGCTTTTATGAATTATTGTTAATTATTACAGCAACTTTATATTGTTATTCTTATTTTTTAAATGTAACAATTAAGGCAGAAAAAATACAGTCAAGTTCTCTAGTCATCACAGCTGGTAGCTGACAGAAATTTAATCCTCTTAGCATTCTGAAACCAATTCCAACATTGATTTCAATACACCAAGCAACTTGTAGGAATCCCCAGATGTAAGGGTTTTTAAGGACATTTGTTACTTTTGCAATATAAACTCCTTTGATGGAGGTCTGTATAATATCAATAATATTCTAGACATAGAACAAAGATGGAGAAACAAAAGTTTATGTAATTTTGGCACAATTTGGTGCCCATGAAAGGAAATTTATCAAGGACATATGGTGAGGGCATCCTAG